AACAGAGTCTGAGAGACCAAAAGCAATAGAAAAAAGTGCCTTATCGGCTAGTACAACAATAGTTTTTCGTGAATCGGAAGGAGTTGGTATAGCTCGTATTGTAGCCACTGTTGCACTTGACGGATATCGTATCATTGCCTAGAGCAAGAATACGCAACATTATGCAAACTGGTAAAACATAGAGACAAAGAAGCTTACATCTGTCCTCCTCCCTGACCAGTCATGAGCATCAAATCGCTTTTGATCCTCGTTAAATACAACGGAAAACAAAGAGTTTTTGAGGGAGAATAGACAATTGGACCACATTGTGGACGACATTTGACATTCAGTCAACCACTGCGCCATTTCTATGCATCGAACCTTAACTTCGCAATTTCTAGGAGGAAATTATCGAGCACTGGCAAAGAGGAGCAAATAAGTGATAAAATTAACTAATAGGAGAGGTTATATGTTTAAACAAGATAAAATTAAGTACGCTATTATACTGATATCACTGACCTCGTCATTATCGTCGTCAACCTCAAGCCGGTATAATCGATGAGAGATAGCAGGATGACGTCCTCCTGGGGAGAATGTCACAGCAAAGTGTAGAGATGACTCGTCAAAACTGACCGACCTCATTTTATCAAATTGATCTAAGCAGAAAGTTGGTTTAAAGCTTACTTTAACCGGAGAACAAGAAAAATAACTTACCGTCGGTATTGTTCAGCAGAGGAAACACTTTTTCATTTCTGAATGCTATTAACTTCTTAAAAGAAGCAACCAACAAAGTAGAAGAAGCTGGGTCAAACCTTCAAATATAAGTTAGACTTTATGTGAGGTAAAAAAAATTTGGAACAAACCCAGTGAAAATTATGGGTAGATGACCAACTCCTTGGGTGTAATCACGTATTGGCTCAGTGGAATCTGAGTCTACAGCATATTCAAAAACTCGCCCATCTCCAAGTCCCAACGCTACCTAAAAGAAAGACGAGCAGATCTCAGAAGAGAACTAAAGTTGAGTGTGGTCAAACTTTATTGGCAGATGTCCAGCATCCAGTCCAAACTGGCTTTTCATGTGGCATTTTCCATTGTCGGCGTATAGCGCCGTTCATAGAGACGATGGCTCGTTTGTCTTCGCCACCTAGCAACAATTTGTAATTCTTGAGTTTTGAAGAAGATCTCTATAACAACCTGACAAAAGCAGGCTTGATTCGTAAGGCGAAAACACAACCACTCTTGATCTCCCGCTATGCAGGGGATAGCATTCACGAAGCTTGAATTCCTGTCGATTCTGCATAAGTAGAATAATATGACATGAAAAAAAAGAGAATA